TATTTATTGATATACAAAGAATAATATTATTTATATACAAGGAATGAAAATAAAATTTTAATATACATGTTGATAGATACAAAAAAGAAAAACAAAGTTGTGATATATATATTATTATTGTGATATACATTTATTGACTATTTGATGCCAATATCTATAACTAGGACTATCTTCTGTCAATTATATGGATATGTTGTTATACCATGCCGAAACCCCTTTTCTAAATATGGGCTCACTGCTTCCTATTGCCAGTAGAAATTTTGGGTCAAAATCCAGTACATCCACGATCTTAAGTTGGGCCGACCACGAAAATAGAGTTTTCCTTCGGCAGGCAGCATTTTACTCTCTATATGTGCCTTTGTTGTACGAATCAAATTATTCGTCATTGGGATCTTTTTATAAATAGCCGACGATATTCTGGATGCTTGGAAAAAAAAATATTGTAAGTGAAGTTTTAACTAAATACTATACTTAACTGTTTGTAAGATGAGTTTAAAAGTTTTTGCCTATTTTTGTTTGTATTTTAAAGAATAATTTAATTTCTATCCACCGAATGTAGAAATTGCTTGACACACTTTGGGGTAGAAGTTTTGCTTAAATAATATTGTTTCCAATAGAATTTCGGCTCACCTATTTCTAAACGTATTCAAAACAAATAAAACTAGAGATAATGGAAAATAATTTCTTAAACTATTGGTTGATAGTAAAAATTAATGACATTTAAAGGTTGGAAAACAAAATTACTCCTTTCATCTAATAAAAATAATGAAGTTTTGATATACGAGAATCAGAACATTTCGTAAGAATTATTTTTTACAGCTTGTTTGCATGGTTATTATCTATTGTACCGTATTCTATTGTTACTTTAAATACGATATTTGTGTTGATTGTTACTTAAATTTTATTGTATTGTATTGTTAAATCCATCGTTACATAACGACGAAATGTGTCACTTTATGTAACGACCGATTTGGCGTGGTCGTGTCGTTACCTTGTCTTTTTCTCTCAATCTCACCCTTCATTATAATTAAATAATTTTATTTTATCATTTATCATATATTTTCATATAACAATTTTACCCCGTATCATAATTTTTATTTATACTATTGCAAGTTTATTCTTCATATTGCTGGTGCGTGATATTATGAAACGACCTCAAACGATATAATCTATGAAAACATTGTATTCATCAAACAATACAATACAATATGGAACGATTTGTAACAACCATCCAAACAACCTGTTAATGGGTTACTGTATCTGTGACCAGAACTCTGCCAGGAGTAAAATGAGAATGGATTTTCTAAAGTTCAAAAAGCTAAAAAAGGAAGTGACAGCCCGAGACAATGAAATAAAATATGAAAAAGGTTTCTTCAGCTTTTACAAAAGTGATATAAGCATATTAAGACCTAATAATTCCATAAAATGAGAATCTTTTTTAGATCCCCAGAAAATTTTCACTGGCCCATTTGGTACACAAAAAAGTATGAAAAAGGCAGTAAAGGAGAGCAGGGGCCAAGAACCAGCTAATTTTACCACTCTCTTATGGAGTACCTTTGCCTTTTGTTCTGCCCAATTCCTTCACTTTTTCTTTTCTGCTCCTTAGTTTATTTTTTTTATTAACCCCACCACTGAAAAAAAAGCCAAATAATCTTATTTCTCTAGTTGGAATTGTACTAGTAGTATCTTTCTTCTTATTTATGTACCACGACTTTCAATAATTAGGTTTGCTAAAATGCAATTTTGTAAACTTAACATGAATGAGAAGAGAATGTTTCATCAGCTATTAGGTTTATTTCCTTACATCTCTCAAGCTATAAAATATAGTGCAGTCAACTCTCTCTATACTAACCTTGTTTATTCTGATATTTTCTGACTGCTATATTGAAGTGTTATTATATAAAACATATATTATAACATAGTACGACAAGTTGGTTCCAAAGAAAACTTGATCATTATAATGAAGTGTTGTTATAGAGTATGACTGTTATAGAGAGGTCTGACTTAATAAGTTTTGTCCATTAATTGAAAAGTATTTCTACAATTAGTTTCTAAAAATTCGGCTAAAGTAAGAGGTTACTCTAAAAATGTGTAGTTAATCTAGAAAGGTGGTGAATAATCGCGATCTATTAGGACCGGTTAAATTACAATGTACTTAAGAATTTTTTATAACATTGTCAATGTATAAAACTTAAATTCAGTAGATTTGGTTATTTTAAGAAACAAACATTACGATTCCATAAGTCCATAGTAATTGCAGATACATTTACGTGTTTTGTATTACTGAATTTAGAATAACAATAAATAAAAGCAAACTCAAATAAACTAACAAAAATTATTAGCTGCCTAAGGTGTAAGCTATAAATATTCCCTTGTTTTCTATATATTAAACCTCCAAAGTCACAACAGAAAGAATGCTCATTTCATAATAACCAAAATATGGTTTCCAACAACCAAACTTTCTAATTTGTTTTACATCTTCTTGTCAAACAAGAGGAAGCAGCAGAAGATTTAGGAGAGAAAAAAGGGTATTTGGGAGAGAAAATAATGAAGGTATTAGAGTATGAAAAGCTTGAAAAAGCCACAGAAAACTTCTCAAAATCAAGACTCATTGGTAAAGGAAGCCATGGATGTGTATACAAAGGCATCCTAGAAGATGGTAAAATCATAGCCATAAAGAAACAATCATTGGGACTTCAAAAAATTCAAGACTACTCCAAACTAGAAAATGAAGTAAGTATTTTATCGTCTTTGTCCGAAAACTCTTTCATCGTTAATTTTCTTGGAACGAGTAATAATAACTCGGTCAAGAATGAAACTTTTCTCATAATCGAATACTTGCCAAATGGCACTCTACATGAAATGCTACATGCAAAAATTGTCCCTCCTACTTGGCCTAAACGTATCCAAGTGGCAATTCAATTAGCTAAAGCAATCCAATTTCTTCACCAAACTAAGCCTTCAATTGTTCATAGAGATATTAAATCTACTAATGTTTTGTTTGATTCAAATTGGAATGCAAAGTTAGCTGATCTTGGACTTGCCCTAAGGTTGAAAAATGATTGCGAAGATGACGATACCAACTCGCCGAGTCATCGTTCCAACTCGGTGACTCGACCTGCTGGCACGATCGGATACTTAGATCCTAGTTACACCAAACCAAGCAAATTAAGCACGAAAAATGATATATTTAGTTTTGGAGTATTGCTTCTTGAGATTATGTCTTCAAGAAAAGTGATCGATGTCTCAAAATCACCAGTTTCTATAGTTGATTGGGCAACAACATTGATTAAAGAGGGACGTGATTTGGAAATATGTGACAAAAGAATGCATGTGCCATGGTATATGGAAGGCACGATAAAGAACATGTTACGCATTGCTACACGTTGTGTTTCTACAAAGAAAATAACTCGACCTTCAATCCAAGAAATTGTGATGGAAATGGAGAATGTGATAATAGAGCCAACTAAATATCCTTTGTGGAATATATTACGTAGCCTTACACTTTTGAAAAGGAAACGAAAAAGATGCAGAAAAGATTGGAATATCACTACTACAACAGTTACCAAGACTTGTGCACAACATGAAGGGAAGGTAGAAATGGATATGTCAAGAGGGAAGTTGTTGATTAGGGAGATATTGGCAGATAAAGCCATGCAGTAGGTGCAGAGGCGGATCTTGAATATTAATTTGATGGATTCAATCTTTTAAGTTCTTGTGTTGTTGAATCCATTGTACGTTTAATGTTTGTTATAAGATTTACTAATTTTACACAATATTCATGTTTTGTGTTAAACTTAGTTGATTTCACTTGAACGTTAGTTGTTAAAATAATGCAACATCTACCTCAGAGTAGAAGAATGATTGATGGCGAGGATTATCGTAGTTACGGTTACATTGCTTTTATCGAAGCAGAATAAGTCTAAAACTCCGATCCTACTTTTTAGGAATTCCATTTTGATCCAAACCCGTACTGAGTCAATGAAAGGGGATGACTCGGTTGAGTGGAGAAACTCGGAGTGGGTCAATGATGAGGTTACCAATCACGTAGTACTATAGAAAAGGAAATGTCGAAGTTGGATCAGCTTTTAGGCGCATGCATTATTTCCAAACACAAGATTCCCAAAAGTAGGTAGAATTAGTGGGAATATATCAAAGATATTGTAATCTATTATTTTGTGTGTTTTTCTATAAATGCCGTGTCATTCCTTTGTGATGTTACACTTCTATCAATGGCTTTTTATTGGGAAATTCTTGTGTCAAATACGTAAGACTTCTCCAACATTTGCGTTGGAGATAATGTTTGACCGGAATGTTTGTTGTCTGACTATGCAACTCGCGTTATCAAAAATTGTTAACTTGGTACAGAGATTAGCTATCGCAGAACAAATGAAGAGAAAATCCTAATATTGAGAGAAGAGAGAAGAGAGATACAGAAGGTTCGAGAGAAAATATGAGCTGGTCAAAATGACTATTGACCAAAAAAACTAATTCACTACCCAGATATTATTCTTTTATATTTACAGGTATATGAAAATAAAAATACAAGTAAGAAATGTACAATACAAGTAAAAGTATAAGTGGGTCGGGTCTCTACAGTAACACTAGTGAGCTAGCTGCTTTCCTTTGTTGGATTGGGCTGGAGTCACATTCTGGTTAACACCACCCCCCCCCCCCCCCAAGCTTGAGGGTGATATCACACCAAGCTTGGAAAGAAGCTCATGATGAGGCTGCCCAGTGAGAGCTTTGGTCATAATATCAGCCAACTGATCCGAGTAAGAAACATAATGAAGAGAAATCAAACCAGAAGACAAACATTGGTGGATATAGTGGCAATCAATCTCAATATGCTTCGTACGCTCGTGGAAGATAGGATTCTTAGCCATGTGTAAAGCAGCCTGTGAGTCACAAAACACAGAAACTGGGCTGGTGATGCGCAAACCAAGATCACCCAAAAGCCTAACTAGCCAAGAAATTTTAGCAGCTATTTTTCAAAGGGCCTAATATTCAGCCTCAGCAGATGAGAGAGAAATGGTAGGTTGCTTTTTACTCTTCCAAGAAACAGGGCTGCCACCAAGAGAAATATAATATCCACTAACAGATTTGCAAGACACCACACAAGAAGCACAATCAGAATCATAGTATGCAAGAAGTGAAAAATCTAAAGAACTAGAGTGGAGAACACTATGAGCAGGATCATTTATGAGATATCGAAGGACATGCAAAGCAGCCATCATATGAGGAACTTGAGGCTTTTGTAGAAATTGACTCAAATGTTGTACGGAAAAAGATATATCAGGTCTGGTGTTTTGCAAAAAATTCAGCTTCCCAACCAATCGTCTATATAAGCTAGGATCAGAGATAGGCTCCCCCATGTCCTTAGTGAACTTGACAGAAGGATCCAAGGGGGTCAAAACAGAAGAAAAATATTGGTAATTGAACTCAGAGAGAAGATCAGAAGTAAATTTTTGTTGACTAATAATGTATCCTTAAGGATGAAGAGAGATCTCCAACCCCAGAAAGTAATGCACTGAACCCAAATCTTTGATCTTAAAAGTGGCAGCCAAATAAGACTTCAAGGACTGCATTTCAGATGAATCATTTCCAGCTAACAGAATATCATCAACATACACAGCCAACACAACCAGAGAATCAGAAGTAGATTTGGTGAATAAGGAGTAGTCATTGAGACTTGAAATGTAGCCTTTGGAGAGCAAAGCTTCAGACAGTTTAGAAAACCACTGTCTGGAGGCTTGCCTAAGGCCATAAAGGGACTTCTTGAGTTTGCAAACCAGAGGAGAAGAGGAAGAAGAAGAACCTGAGATATCAAGACCAGGGAGTACCTTCATGTAGACCTTATCATGGAGATCACCATGCAAAAATGCAATATTAACATCAAGCTGAAAAACAGTCCACTTATTCTTGGCAGCCAGAGTTAGTAAGCATTTGATAGTGGTGAGCTTAACAACAGGTGAAAAGGTTTCTGTAAAGTCAATACCCTCATGTAGAAAATCATCCCTTATAACTAATCTTGCTTTGTACCTTTCAATAGATCCATCAGCTTTTTGCTTAATTTTATACACCAATTTACAAGGAATAGCCTTTTTGTGAGGAGGAAGAGGTACTATCTCCCATGTCTAATTTGCCTCAAGGGCTTGAAATTTCTAGCATAGCCTCTTGCCAAGCAGGATTGAAAACAGCCTGCTGGCAAAACTGAGGCTCATGCATGTGTAAATCAACAGAAGATACCTTGGTAGATGGTGTAAATGCAGGTGAGAGTACAGATGAACACACATAATCTTTAAGGTGAACAGGCTGTATGACTGGTCTAGAAGATCTCCTTAGAAGAATAAAAGGATGGGTAGTTGAAGGAGCAGATGAGGAGGAAGATGGAGAAGAGGAAGGAGCAGGCAGAGAGACTGGAGAATGATGAAAGGAAGGGAAATAAGGGGTAGGAAAACTATGAGGTAGATTGGAGTTGGTAGAAGGAGAAGGGTCACTCCCATGAGTATGAGAAACAGGAGTAGGCAGGACATCTACAGAATCAGGAGTAGGCAGAGAAAACAGAATAGGAGAGGAATCAGACTTGTAGGGAAACACATGTTCATGGAAAACAACATCCCTAGAGAAGAAAATAGAGTGAGTGGAAATGTTAAGAAGCTTATAGCCTTTTTTGCCACAGGGATAACCCAAAAAAATAGAGGGTATGGCCCTAGACTGAAACTTATCTCTCCCTAGTTTGGGAGAGGTGGCAAACCATAGGCACCCAAAGGACCTGAGGTGTTCATAGGATGGAGGAATTCCATGTAATTTTTCATAGGGTGAAAGGTTCTGAATGACAGATGAAAGCATTTTGTTGATGAGGTAAGTTGCAGTTAGTACACAATCACCCCAATATTTGGGAGGAAGGTTAGATTGGAAAAGAAGAGCTCTGGACACCTCAAGTAGACGTTTGTATATTCTTTCAACAACTCCATTCTGTTGAGGAGTGTGTGGAATGGTAGTTTGGTGTAAAATGCCTTCACTATTAAAGAGTTGAGTTCCTTTGGAACTGCCCCCAAATTCAAGAGCATTGTCTGGCCTAAAAGTTTTAATAGGGGATTTAAAATGCACTTTGACCATGGCTGTAAAAGCCTTAATGATGGAAAGTGCATTTTTTACAAGAAAGAAGGTGAGTCCAAATAGCCATTTATATATAGTCATCTACTATGGTCAAGTAATATCTGAACCCATTGTAAGTTTTAGTGTTATAAGGACCCCAAATATCAATATGGATTAATTGAAGTGGGACATTAGAATGTATAACACTTTTAGGAAAAGGCAGTCTTTGTTGTCTAGCCATTGGACAAATAGAACACAAGAAAGATTGTTTAGGTGATATTTTGTCAGACAAATATGTAACGGACTTCATTTTGTGGAAAGGCATATGCCCCAAACGTTGATGCCAAGACAAATCCACTTTATTGGAGGTAGATATGTGATTACAAGAGACAACATCAACAACATGATTTACTACAGAACTAGTGTTACAGAAGGAACAGAAACAGGTAAACTAACAGATGAATGAGAAGCAGACATGGAAGTGGAAGTAACAAGAAAAAGATCAGCATCTGAATATAGGTAGTACAGCCTTCCTGCAGCCTTACAAATTTCCAGTGACCTCTTCAGAGAAGGGCCATGTAAAGAACAAATTGATTTGGTAAATAAAGCTGAACTATCTAATTGACAGATGAGTTGGTGTACAGAAATCAGATTAAATTGAAAGGAAGGAACAAGGAGGACATGAAGTAAGACTATGATGTAAAGATCCAGTGGAAACTACTTTGGCTTTATATCCATTTGGCAAAGTGACAAGGAATGGTTTAGGTAAAGGTTTTACATTAAAAAGTGAGTATTTATGTGGAGTCATATGGTTAGTTGCACCTGTATCTAATATCCAAGGATTTACTTTTAACTGTGATGAAGCACATACATGAGAATCCACAGAACTTACAGCATAACTACTAAACAAACCTACAAAATGGGCAAATGCAGTATTGTCCACAGTAGAATCATCAAGAGTTCACAGAAGATAGTTGAGCCTGCTGAAATAGAGCTAGGAGATGTTTGTACTGCTCTTTAGTAAAATCATGAGCTGATGACTTAGGAAACTATGTAGTTGGAACAACATGCAAAGGTGTAGAATTTGGACACATGAAGCAAACTTCTTGTTCTTTATGAACTTGAAGTTTGAAGGAAATCCATGGAGCCTGTAACATTTGTCCACAGTGTGTCCAGGTTTCTTGCAATATTTGCGAGAAACATTTGTGTAGACCTCCTAGATTCAAAATTCACCTTTTGACTGAAAGTTCTGTTCCCATTTGATGATCCAGTAGAAACTAGGAATGAGGATGTATCTCCAGAAAGACTTCGGACACAAGAATGAGCTTCCCTTTGACTTTCATCATGTTGAAGAAGAGAATAAGCCTTGCTCATCGGTGGAAGAGGGTTCATCATCATAATAGCACTTTTTACAGTTGAATAGGACTCATTTAAACCATTTAGAAACTGAAATAATTGTGGATCTTCTATGAATTTGGGCAAGGCACCACAAGAGCATACGGCTTCTACATATGAGGAATGTAGCTCATCCCAGAGGCTTCTCATCTTTGTAAAGTAAGATGCTATGTCAGAAGAACCCCTGAGTAGTAGAATGAATTTCCCTTTGAAGTTGGATGTACTTAGACCCATTTGACTGTCCAAACCTATCATTGGTGTCTTTCCAGACATCCTTGGCAGTCCTAAAACACATCACACTGGTAGCAATCTCTCTAGATACTGAATTTGTTATCCAGGCCTTGACTATGTCATTGCATCTTTCCCAATACGCATAGTAAGGGGAATCTGATGTGGGCTGAGAGACTCTACCATCTACTAACCCTAATTTATTCTTTGCAGAGAGAGAAGTGACCATACTACTTCTCCAAAGTACAAACTCAGGCCCATTGAGTGGCACAGACACCAATTGACTACCAGGGTTATCAGACTGGTGAATATAGAGAGGGTGAGATGGATCGAGTGAAAAAGGAACAAAACCATCAGAAGTCGGAGACACATCATCATTATTCAATATACTACCCATCAGAACGAGTTCACAATATTAGAGATAAAAGTCGACTGATAACAAACAGAGGTAAAGCGAATTTGCAATCAACAGAGAATCAATACATGCAGATAGGTGAGAATATACCAGCCTTCTTCTTTGCAATCAACAGAAAATCAATACATGCAAATAGGTGAGAATATACCAGCCTTCTTCTGAAAACCCGAAGAAGTAAGGTCTCGTCTAATCGCAAACCCTAGACATGATTTTTTCTCCCAAATGTAACAACACCTTCATCAAAACCAAAAATTCAGAGAAGATATACCTCAAACAAGGATCAAAGCTGAAAAGTCCCAAATTTCTCCAGTGAAAGAACACAGTACTGCTTCAACTACCTCCGACTTCAACCAAAGGCAAAGCGAGAAAAACTCCCGGCAAGGGTACTATCGGAAGAGAGCTCAGGACGAGAGGAATCTAAATCCCTGCTCTGATACCATGTTAACTTGGTACAGAGATTAGCTTTGGCGGAACAAATAAAGAGAAAACCCTAACATTGAGAGAAGAGAGATACAGAAGGTTCAAGAGAAAATGTGAGCTGGTCAAAATTGACTTGACCAAATGAGAATGTGAAATGAAAAAAAATGAGAATTTGGTTTCATAACGTACAAAAAACTCCAGAAAAGTAATTCAAAATTTTCACTTCAAAGCACTCATAAAAATTCAAAAATAACTCCAAATTGTATTCATGTCCAAACACAATTCTAATTTTTTAAATAATTTTCAACTTGAATTTTTTTTCTTGCTTTTTTTAGGAATTTCACAATTCTTATGTCCAAACGCCTACTAAATTCAGTAATAATTCAACTTTAATTTTTTTTCTTACCCTTATTGAGATGATTTCTAGCCATACAAGTTACTATGGTTTATTTTAGAGCACAAGTTTCAAAAGTCTTTCTTTATTTCGTGAACTCCATATCTAGTCAAACACCTTCATGTAAATTGGGACGGAGGGAGTATAATTTATGTGAGAAAAATAAATGATAAGTTAGATTATTAGATATAATTACGTGACTAACTAATGAACAGAGAAAAATAATTTCGTAATAACGAAAAATAAGATTGAATGAAAACTATTTTGGATATATTAATTATAGGAAGAAATTAAGTTATTTAAACAATATAAATATGAAAAAAAAGAAATAATTTTATCAATAATAAAAAATAATTATATAAATTATATACTATAAATATAGAGAAATAGTAATTTTGGGACCCTTAAATTTTTGCGGCCTA